ATGGAAGAATAAACAGAAATTGGAAATCTTATTGTTTATCTGGTCGCTTAGTCTTATTGCAAGTAACAGCTCTATCTGGATTCAGAGCGTGGGCTTAATTTAGGTAATTAACGTAGATGTATCGTATCAGCAGTAACTGTAATCTTTGTGCTCATCCCCATGTGCTTGAAGCTGCAAGAAGGAAAAAAAAAAAACAAATCATATAGTTAAATCAATCAACAGTAATTAGTGCTACTAAACAAATAGTTATCGTCTTGTCCAGCCAAAAACTACACAACCAAATATTGTATTATTGAATTTAGAAGAATTAAATTCATATATAATATGCAAATTACTGGTGTTGTTACTAACCTGTTTGAGAAAGAGTCCAATTACTGTTGTCAGCACCGACATGCCACGCAAAGTAACCAAGAAGCCCTTTTGTTACCTTGGCATATGAAACCTTAGCAGAGATGCTCTGCGTATCATCATAACCAATCCATGTTGTTCCTGAGTAGCAATAGTTTGTAACAACCGTGGCATTGTACACTGTTTGTGCCCCATTCTGGCTTATGAAATTTCTTATTTGGTTGTAGCCTTGATCCCCGTATTGCCCTATAGCCGATCCGTTAGCAGGAGCATAAAGGCCGTGGTTATTCGCGTTCAATAAACGCCATGCGTAGCCATAAAAGGGAAGGCCTAGCACTATCTTTTTGGCAGCCAAACCTGCTTGAATCCAGGATGTGATACCAGCATTCCCGCTAATCTGACTGTTCGACAATGCAGCAGGTGGTCCGGTGTTGTTTGGGGACCAACCAGGGCCGTAGAAGTCATAAGCCATGACATTAATCCAGTCTAAACTGTTTGATATGGCCTGGAAGGGGTAATTTATGGTGTAGTAATCTGCAGAGCGAAAGACAGCAGCGGCTAAAAGCAAAGCAGTCTTGCCAGAGGCCTTGGACTCATTGGCCACAGCAGCTCGCCACTCGGTGAGAAGGCTGCCCAAGTTGGTCATCTCAGTGGTGGAGGATGGATATTCCCAGTCGAGGTCAAGGCCGTGGAAGTTGTAAGACCTTGCTAACGTGATGGAGGAGTTAATGAATGATTTGCGCCGGCTGGCTTGGCTGGCCATTGCGGCAAAGGTTGCTGGATTAGCATTTCCTCCGCCAATGGATAAGAGGGTTTTCACTGCAGGGTTGTTTTTTTGGACTGTTTGTGTGAAGCTTGAGAAGGGGGCCGAGTTTGAGGAAGAAACGGTGACTTGGTAAGTGTCGGAATTAAGATCAGCAAATGCGCAAAATAGATGAGTGAAAAGACTGGAATTTATGCTGGAGGCTGGGAAGCCACTGTCAGGAAACCAGTAAGCGCCTTTAACCACAGTTTGGCCGGTTGAGAAGCTGAGTTGGGCAAGGAAAACGAGACCCGAAAGAAGGATCAATGGAAGTGTTAACTTGGAAGACATTGCAGCAAATGGATGAAAGAGGAAATAGTTCTTGCTTGCTGATTGTTATGACGATCTTTTATGTGTATATATACACACACAACACAAGATGATGCAAAGTTGCGTGTAAAATTATATATTGGACTTTGGACTTTGGACGTTGAAGAAAGAAAGCTGCATTAAGAGATTTTTCTGCAGTGTCTAGTGGCATAGATAGAGCGGACCATACCAAAGATATCATGTTCTTGAGTCTTGACTAATTCATGCCGATTGGCAATGACGTATGTAGTGTATAAACATGAAATACATTGGTAAGAAACATGCAGAAACTGATTCTTATCCACAATGTGAACATCTTTATTCATCCAAAAGTAAGAGTTAGAGGGATCTTATAAGATATAGTTGACATCTCTTAAGTTGCTATTTATAACCCCTATTAATTATAATGGCCTACTTGAAAGATTGGACTTTAGATGAGCAACTGGCATCCCTTCTGGTTAGGGAGGTCCAAAGTCCATGGTAGTGCTACGCGTGAGTTGGGTAAGGAAACTTTAATGGGTCGAGCCATATGAATAAGAATAAGATACTTATTTGAACAAGAGATACCAACAGGGATTTATAATTCTAATGGTAGAGTGCCTACCTTATAGTACACAAGGATTTAACTCTCACATGGATTTGATGAAGACAGCTTTGTCTGATTGAGAGATAGTATACATAAATTGGGGAAGAGAATAAATGAGTGACATCACAAGAAATCAGAATAACAAAGCAAGTGATTTTAAGAGAGATGATGCGCGACCGCGATCAATTTGTTTAAACACATGGTGATTTATGATTAGTCAAAAACAAAAAACTTTTGTATGCTATCGTAACACCTATGACATTACAAACTTGGTATATCGCTCAAATTATAATTCAGTGGTGGGAAATGTGCTATAATGTACACATTTGCTTATTCTTGCAAAGGTTTATAGTTTAAGTGATTAGGATGTACCCCTTTTCCATCCAAGATCCTAGGCCCCTTCCTCAATATTACTTGTATAAAAGAAAAAATTAAAATTAAGTAATTGCTTCTTCTTTTGTTTTTCTTTAAACATGTGAGAGTCCACCCCAAAAAACGTAAGTACATGATAACGTGCACGTGCAGTATATGGTCCTAATCGGTTGGACCCACAAATAAATCCAACGGTTCCAAAAGACGTTGCCGTTGCCACGTGAGCGTCCAGATCTCGCGGATACAACAATTAGGTTGACCAAGTCTTGACCGACCACCAGAGCGCGCGGGAGAGATAGCGAGACTAGACTCTAGAGAGGTAATGCTAAGCGCGTTGGTACACGCTCCCACCCTGTGTTCTCCTTCCGGTTCGCCTCCCAACCCTTTGTCCAAGAACATCGTCACACGCGCCTCCATGGCCACCGCCTCAGCTCGTAGCTCAGCTCGAATAGCAATTGTCGGCGACGTCGTAAGGCTCTCTCTTTCTTTCTGTATGTGTGGATTTTTGAAACCGTGCCCTGGCCGGCTGATTCTTTTTATTGACAAATTCGTTTTGTTTGCTTCTCAAATTTCCCCTTTTGATCATTATTTTGGCTTCTGAAGCATGATCAGTGGAATCTAGAAGAAGATACGAAGGCACTTGAACTGCTGCAGGTGTTCATTTCCCTCTATTGAGTATTTTCTTCTACTGTAAAAGATATAATCTTTAGTTATTTGGGAGATAAATATATATAGTAAATTTCTTGGTTAACTTTAGAAAGATTTTGATTTTGATTTTCCTTGGCTTGGCTAAGGCTGTGCTGGAGTTATGTCTAGCTAAGCTTTTTAAGATGTATTAGCAGTTGTTTGGCCAAGCTCGAGTTTGAGCTGAAATTCGAGGTTTCTCGGTCTTTTTACGCGTAGAAACTTTGAACCATAATTGGACAGGACTTGTAGGTCTGCAATCGCGAGCAGCACTTGTTTGAATGCTTGAAATATAAGTTCTTTTTTGTTATTGATTTTATGTTTCTTATTGTAGTTATACATTTTTTTTCCGTTTTTATCAAAAAGTTGTATTTCCTAGAAAGAAATCTAATATGAGTTTATAACTTTATTGAACTGCAGCCCGATTTGGTTCTTTTTACAGGCAGGTTCCATTCTCCCTTACTGTTCATCTACCTAATGTTTTTCGGTGCTTCTCACTTTCGATTTTCAGCTCCTTCACTTTCTTGTGTTTCCCCATTGGTGACTAAGCTACTTTAGCATATACAAAAGAGATCTCTGTTCATGTTTGACATCGCACCAGCACACACCACATTTGTCATTTGCATGTTTGATAAATTCATGACATGCCCCTAAGTGTTGTAAAGGTTAAGATAAATAAGTTATCAGAAAAAAAGCTAAATCAAATTTAGACACTTAGCCATGTGTGATCTAAATTGATTTCTTGTTTCTGCACTAGTGTAATCTGTTATTTGTTTTATGTAAACCTATAGTTAGTCTGTTTTTTTTCAGGTGATTTTGGTGAAGAGAACGTTGAACTCGTTCAGAGCGTTGCAGAGCTCAGATTTGATAAAGCAGTTATTCTGGGAAACCATGATGCCTGGCATACAAAACAGTTTTCTGGAAAGTAAGTTCTGGATAGTGTTTCCATATGTTTGAATAGTCTTTAATTCTTAATTCATGTAGTCACACAGCCTAGTATAGTCAAACATGTAACTATTAATATGGTGACTTTAGAGTGTACCTCAACTGATCAATCTATCCCTTCCCCCCCGCCCCGCCCCTATTCTGTGTGCCCTTGCATCAAATATGTTGATGTAATTCTAATTCCGAGTTTATGATAATCTGGTTAATTTTATATTTTAATTTTGAATATCAGGAAAAAAGATGGCGTTCAACTTCAGCTAGAATGGTGAGCTTGTCTTATCTTCATGATTGTCAAACATTCTGAAATTACCATTTGTGTTACATCTTTGTTTATCAGTTATTACTTGTCATTCACATTAAAAGATAGTATTTTTCCTGTTCAATTCAATGTATTCACAGTTGCATACAGATGTCATGGTTGCCAATGAAATATTTTATTGTTTTCATTGTTTTTCCTTGTTTTGCAATGCATTGAAAATGTTAGAGTGAAGAATGTATCTGACACAAGTTTTTCACTCATGCTCTCTATGATTTTCCTTTTAAAAACCAAATTCCCCAGAATTTGAGGTTTCTTTTGCATACACTAACGCCAACTTGAGTATTCCAGTCCTTTTCATAGATTGGTGAACATTGTGTCATATTGATTGGCCTTCAAAATTAATTTCCAAGTGCTTCCAGGGAACCAAAAGAAGCTCAAATTTGGTCAGGGGAGAGATTTTAGTTTGACATGAGATGATATCGCTACTAAACCAGGCTGAAATGGACATTAATGAACAAAATCAGGTCAAACAGTTCCAACAGTCCTAAATGATGGAACGTTGGGGGACCGAATTATTTACATTTGGAAGGCTACATGTTATTCTTACATTGATGCAGCTGTAAGTTAATTGTGTTGTTAAGTGATAATACTTATAATGCTCAGTCTCGGCGAGGAGCATGTAGGTTATCGGCGTTTGGACTTTCCTGTGGTAAAACTGAGCGTTGTTGGTGGGCGACCGTTTTCTTGTGGGGGAAAGCAGTTGTTTCGGCCAAAGCTTCTGTCTGCAAGGTGTGTAATGGTTTTAGCAGCTGTTGATTAAACATGAAACTAGAGTTTTATCAACTTGCTTGGACTCTTATCCAAAAATTTGTAACCATTTTTCATGATACCATGCATGGGTCACATTTACGATGGAAAATTCATCAGAAAAGCATTGTGTTCTCCTCAATGATGGCTTAAATTATGTGTTGAAACAACCTCTTAGGTATGGGGTCCAAGACATGGATGGAAGTGCTAAGAGAATATGCAAAGCAGCTTTGGGTGCTCCAGAGGACCATTTGGTCATACTTCTTGCACATAATGGCCCCACAGGTTTATCAGTCTGCTGAAATAAATCGTAATCTGTCATTTTAGGGAAATTTTGTTACTTCATGTAAATGCAAATTTCTGAGTTCACTCTTTGTGCAGGTCTTGGTTCCAACTTGGATGACATATGCGGAAAAGATTGGGTCTATGGAGGTGGAGATCATGGTGACCCAGGTAATAATTAAGCTATTGGCTCTACATTAGTATGCATCTCTACATTTAGGTTGCCAACCCCATAAAGGCATGATCCAAACCTCTTCAGTGAATCACTGAAAGGGTTTTTGTTATTTTGTAAACTTAGTGTTACACGTTAAAATTGATGTCACTTACTACTGGGTCTTTTGGGTTGCTGAATGTGACTGGTGACCCGACGAATCTAAGAGTCTGGTTATGGAAAGGAGACGAGTTACGTCCTTCATGTGATATGTTCATCTATATTAAGATGTAATAACATGAACACTTTTTCTTCTGGTACAGATCTAGCACAAGCCCTGTCCCTCTTAAAAGAGACTGGAAAAATCTGTGGTCCATTGATAGTGTTTGGTCACATGCATAAACAGCTAGCAGATGGAAATGGTCTTCGGAAAATGATAGTGGTTGGAGCTGACAACACTATATACCTGAATGGGGCCATTGTTCCGAGGGTTAAGAGACTAAATGATGAGCAAGGAACTAGCAACAAAAGCTTCGTGAATAAAGAACCCCATCTTTCAACACCAGAGTCAAATGATGAGCAAGGAACTAGCAACAAAAGCTTCGTGAATAAAGAACCCCATCTTTCAACACCAGAGTCCTGTGGCACCATCCGTGCCTTCACTATAGTGGAGATTGTGGACAGAGCAGTAGATAAAATTGTTGAAAGTTGGGTTTCAGTTCTTGGCGATAGGATCACATTGGAAGAGGAGCACATGTTATTTAACAACGGCCGTTAGATTTCTCTGGTTTTGATTTTAGTTTCATCATATTTTATGTATGGAAGTATGTTTTCTGTCCACAATATCCTAAGTGAAAGGAAAATAGTTGTTCAACCCTATATGCTACTAGGGTTCCAAACAAAACAAGTTTGTATCACTTCTATAAAATCTTATTTATGTCTCAATTTCATTAAAAATCATCAAAGCAAGCACAAGCACAGGAGCATTGGCATACTGTTGGTATTTGGTTTGCCAAAGTTGATCAAATTCAATGTTGGGTGATGTTGGTTGGCGCTCAGTGACTTTTTCAGTCTGAGAGTTCCTCAATGTGCCAAAACTGACCTGTATGGATTTCACCTTTCGTGGACCCTTTGTGTTATCATTTCAGTAGATTATTGAGGGAGGTAAGGCAAATGTATGATGTGGTTGGTAAAGAATCTCATCCGTGCCTTTTGGTTGCCTTAGATAACCAATCTTTTTGCTGATTTGATGGCCACCATTAGCAAAGGAACCTTTTGTTTCCCCTTTGATCTGTTAATCAAACTTAATTAACTTGAAAACTGATTAACCATTTCATAAATTTCCTCAATTTTGCAATTATGTCAAGCAAGTGATGGTACAGAACACAAATGATGGTCTTTCTTCTTTATTTTTTTCGTTTGTTTTTTCTTATCAACATCTTATTATTGCATTTCACCCTTTTCCCTTTGCTTAGTGCACATTTTCCAAGCAATCTATTGCTTTTTTGACCCAAATTTCTTTTCCTTGGTTAGTGCACAGAATTAAGACTTACCCTAAACCTTTGGCTGTACTATTCACTTTACTTATTGACTGTTAGTGGTCCAAAATCACTCAATTACTCATAATTTGTCAACTTCAGTCCTAATCATAGTCAACTAACCATAGGGATTAACTTCAATGAGATGATAATTATCAAATTTGTAAAAGGAGGCCATATTATTGCGAGATATAAATACATCTTTCAGTTCATTGATTTGGTCCCCCAAGCTTAAAGCGCAAGGTGCCCTACACTACCGCTAAAGGCCAGTCAACTCATTTCTTGATGACATGCCCCATCTGGGCCATTTATTTTCAAAGAAACTATTATCATTGTGCACCAGGGCCCAGCCAAAAATAACAAATACATTTATCTCATCTCAAACTCACAACAATTAAGTTATTAACCATTAATTTTTTCTCTAAATGCTTTAAAAAATTCTGAAATTTCTATGTTTGATCTAAAGGTTTTTACTTTTTTTGTTTATTTGGAAATACACTTGAAGTAGCACCCTCTATTATTGGACCTACTCCATAATCACCTCAAGCAAGTTTGCCCTGTGAATTGAAAATGGGAAAATCCCCCATGACTAATTTAATATCAATATGTCAAACTGTATTAGGCACAATTACTACTTTACAACCTTGTACCTATCATTAGATTAGAATAATTTCAAGAGTTACTAATAACAACTAAAATCCTAGTTGAATACAACCCTAAGTCCCAAAATTTCCAAACTTTCCACTTGTGATTTTCCCCTTTTTAGGCAAATCAATTTAGTCCAAAAGAAAAGGGCTTTAACCAAACTCTGTACTGATTTTCTTTTGAATTTATAATAAAATGACAGATGTGACATATGCTATTTTGTTATCCCTGATCAATAATACTATGGAAATGTTATCACATGTGTCATAACGTTATTAGCTGAGAATAGCAAAAGAGTATTATTTCCGTTTCATGGAATTCTTCCTCAATTTATAGGTTATAATTCTAGGAACATAATGATTTTGGATCTAAAACTAATAATAAGTGAGGAAAATGGGGGTTAAGTGGGTAATTTGGGTCAAAGCTTGTAGGGCGGAGCAGTTGTGAATTGACCGAATGAGAGAAAGGCAAACCAACCCAAGTGTCATCTTTTTGGTAAAACATTGGCTCAACAAAGCAAGCAAAATGAGGAATGTCAGACTCTGACATTTCTGCTGCACTTCTTCCTTTCTTCGAAGATCCTCGACAGCCTTTGACCGAATCTCGCCCGTCCATCCGTCCCCTTCCTTGTGATCTTCCCCTTCCTTTGTTATTTCTCGAAGAAGAATCGTTTTTCTTTAATTATAAAATACATAAATACATAACGAATTTTTGGTCGAATAAATACATAATTAACCATGGTTTATATATATCATGTATATAGAGATTTTGTTTCACCAAATAATTTAACATGCAACATTACTAACCTAAATGGTTAATGAATATGTCATAATTCAGATGTGTTAATTTAATATATATTTTTTCTTACGTAAACAGACAGTGATTATGAATAATCTGGTTTTGCAGCTGAAGGGTGAATAACTGAAAGTCATGAATTAATGATAATTATTTAATTTAATTTTGTGAACGTGGTGAATTCAACCGTCTATATCAGTTTTTGAATTCAACCAATTTTCATTGATGTCGACAATTTATGTTGAGGGGCAAATATGACATTTGATATATAGTTTTCCTCTCGAAACAAAGGAAGTGATAAAAATAGAGAGAGAGAAGTTGTAACTTGTACATAACATACATACAAATCATCATCAACCAACCTCTTGTTTCTTGTTATTTACAATATAACAAACATACATCGATCCTTCAAGTTATTCCCTTTGAAATAATAAAACTAAACTAAATTAAAGTATATACTTACAATAATAATAATGAATAATAATCCTAATCATGATTCATATTATTTTTAATTATTTATTATTAATTATAATACAGGAGAGAGAAGAAGAGAATACACAAGACAATAAGATGAAATGTGCGGATTCTGTGTTTAGATTCTCAGAGTCTTTCATCTTTGTTCCTCTCCAACATCATCATTTCCAGCTCACCCGCTTAGATCGGATCTATTTTCTGCCACCCCCCTCCCCTCCTCTTTCACCTTTAATTTCATCTGACGCCACCTGCTTTGCCTTTCCATCATCCCCAGTAAAAAAATTCACACAAACCAAAACCCCCACCCCACCCTCAAAAAATTAAACACCAAAAAGAAAGAAAACCCCATTATTGGTTTTGGCTTTTAATTTCATAATCAACAACAACACCACAAACAAGCTCAAAAAAACAAAAAACTCAACCCCCCCCCCCCATTTTAGCCTGAGCTCTGTTTCATGCCTGAACCACATATCCCAATTGGTGATCTGTGTTAATGGGCAATGTAACGTCGGGTGTGGCTGCAAAGTTTGCATTTTTCCCTCCAGACCCACCCACCTATGATGTGCACAAAGACGACGGTGGTAAGCTTGTGTTCTCGGGAGTTACAGCTGACAAGAACATGGAAGTGCATTTGCTTGATACAAAAGCAGGGAACAAGATCGTTGCCACGTTTTGGAGGCACCCTTTTGCCAGGTTCACGCTTCTCTACTCGCATGGTAATGCTGCTGACTTGGGTCAGATGCACGAGCTCTTCATTGAGCTCAGGGCTCACCTGCGTGTCAATATTATGAGGTATTAATTCTATTCTATTTCTCCTTCTTTTTTCCTTTTTTTTCCCTTCTTCTTGTTGTGTTGCTTTGTTTTTTTCTTGTTTTGGAAATCTTTTCTGGATTTTGATGGGTCGGCTTGGTTTTTTATTAATCTGAAATGGGCCTTTTGGTTTTGGCCAATCTGTCATTTGCAAGGTAGTTTCTCTTTTTTTTGCTTACAAAAATATTGATTGAACACCCATAGAGTATTTGGATTTTGCTATTGGTTTCAAAATTTCAGTTTATTGATTGTTTTCCTCGTTTTGTTTGGATAAATTTCTGAATTTTGATGAAATATGAACGGTCCTGTGCTTGCTTTGCTTGTTTCCTCTGTTTCATTTGTTTCTCTGCATATCCGGGGAACTTTCAGCTTTTAAAGTTTGATTAATGGCAGGCTTAAAGCTGCCGGCTTCATAATCTTTTCATGTTCATTCCGTTTGGCGTGAGCCTGACTCCTTCAAAGAGAGACCAAACAGAAAATTATTTGTAATCCAGTATTCTATTTGAAATTTCAACATTGGTTTTTCTAGTAAACAATGGAGGCGATTACAAACTTATTTTCATTTTGTTAGTATTCTGTTTTTGTCTGTTCTAAATCATAGATACTTGTTTAAGCTTTAAATTTTTGATTGGTCATGGAGCTTTAAATTTTTAATTTCATTTTTTTGGTGGGGTTTGGGAGTTGGAATGGATGCATAGGATGAGAATGTTACTATGCCAGCATTTATTACGTACTTGAGAGTTCATTCTTTATTTATTTATTTATTATTTGTAAAATTTGGTCAAGCAGCCAATGAGAATCTTTGAGTGTAACATTTAAAAAAAGAAAAGAAAAAAGTCAGGAACTTTGAATGTAACACGCAGGCAGCTGATATGCTATGAGTTTTCTGATGCTCTGTGCTGCAGTAGTTATGAACCTTCCCATATTATTTACATCAGATATTTTTCTTTGTGGCAGCTATGACTATTCAGGATATGGAGCATCAGCTGGTAAGGTAAGTGTTAAGTAATCTACGAAGTTAGTTTGCACTAAAAGTTTCTCTTTGATTTGAAAGTTTAGTGCAGGCTCTGAAATATGACATTACAGAAGTATAGGATTTATTTTATTTAAAATCTTAAATTTACATCCCTTTGTCAATCTATTGACCTGCATTGCATTGCAAAACTCTATGACTGAAAAGTGTTAATGTTGGTAAATTTTTAGCCATCTGAGTTCAACACATATTATGACATAGAAGCTGTGTACAATTGTTTAAAGAACGACTACGAAATAAGACAAGAGGATTTGATACTGTATGGCCAATCTGTTGGAAGCGGACCAACTCTGCACTTGGGTTCTCGCTTACAGAAACTGAGAGCCGTTGTTCTTCATAGTGCCATCCTGTCAGGCATACGAGTCTTGTATCCCGTCAAGTTGACGTTTTGGTTTGACATTTTCAAAGTAAGCTCTTCTTTGAATCTCTTATTCTGTTACAGAGCTTAGTTTATTGAACTTGTACTGAAAATCCCTCTGCAATATTTTCAGAATATAGACAAAATACGGCACGTCGACTGTACGGTTTTAGTTATACATGTAAGTACTTATTCCCTTCAATTATTTTGTTTTGAGCACCATTCTTTTAGAATTCAAAGTATTTGTGCTGTGGTTCTATTGTTTTCTCCTCCCTCCTCACCTTTTTCTTAACTTCTGTTTGATGAAAAACATTAAAGAGTCATAACTTAAGAATGAAAAGCTATTTTGTTATCAACTAAACTGAACAACATTTTGCTTTGGATTTGAATAAGTTTCATCTGTCCAAAAAGAAAGGAAGAAAGGAAGAAGAAAAAAATACTAGAGCTGGCTTAATTCATATGCTTTTGTTGCTTGTTTCCTCAACCAGACTAATGACAGTTGCCATTTGGAAAGGACTGGTAAAAGATTCTTTTCTGGTAGTTCATAAAGAGGCCAGGAAGCTTGGAATTGATCCTACATGTGAAGTTTCCTTGTTAAATAATGGAAATTTGGATACAAACTAGTAAACTCCTACAGGAACTACCAAATATTACAATTATACATATTTCACATTAATGGATACTTTTATAAAATGATTTTAAGAAGTGAAAAACTTATCCAAAACATCATCACTAGAGAAAGTAGATTTTATATCAGTATCAAGAACCTGTTGTGATTAGTGAAAGGAAAAATTGCAGTTAGACACCTCCTTTGGATTTAATTCCTAACAAAAGTCTTTAACTTTAACAATTACAACAATTTGTGTAATCCTAAACATGCAATTGAAAGATCTTACACTTGTGGTTTTATTCATATTCCCATTGTTCTCGTATGAATGGTTGCTTCTGATTTGATTGATCGATATGCTGCCATTGGTGATGCATGTTTAAACGGACTATTTTGCAGGGAACAGATGATGAAATTGTTGATTGGTCCCATGGAAAGCGTTTATGGGAACTTTCCAAGGAAAAGTATGATCCCTTATGGGTCAAGGGTGGAGGCCACTGCAATCTCGAAACATATCCTGAGTACATTAAGCACTTACGCAAGTTCATAAATGCGATGGAGAAACTTTCGCTCGGTAAACAAACGAAGAAACAACTCACTTCTAACCCAAGTATCACAGAAGTAAAACACAACAAGTGCTTGAGATTTGGAAAAAGATAGCTGGTTTTCTTGATATCGCTTGAGAAAGTAGGGTATGGAAACAGATAGTTCCACTGCATTGTCACCCTGTCTACACGAATAGCTATGATTTCTTTGGCAGCAAGGTAGCTATCCAGCCTGGTATTTTTCTTGGTAGAGGAACAGATAGGAGGAATCATACCTAGAATGTTTGATCCAGATCTAGTTCAGTTCAGATGACCATTTTTTTGAGATAGGGAATGAACTTACGTGTACAATTTCTAGAGGTTTGGTTCCTGATCTGGGGTTTCTTGTATAATTTAAAGAACTGAGCTCTATTTCTATGTAAAGAAACTATCATCAATTTCAGTAGAGAAAATACATGGGTTGCTTTGATTTACATTCTTGGCCCAATAGAACTTGGTACTCCATTACGTTATATATACATATACAGTCCCCTTCTAATCTATCGAGGAATTCCTCAAATAATTTTATTTGGGGGACACCCATTAGGGTTCCCTACAAATCTTTTTTCAACAATCCAAACAATTTGTTTTTTGAAGTCTACATTCGTAGATCATCCTTGCAAAAAATTAGACAAATCAAAAATCGTTTCTACATCTAATTGTGTCCTACAAAATAAATGAACACGGTACTTCAAGAAAGTACTAAAATTTCAATAATTAAATTGAGTGGTCAAATGATATCGGATTTAAGTGGTTTTTTTGTAGAGATGATCTTTGAATGGATTTCTACAAAATAGACGGTTTGGATTAGTGAAATACAATATGGAGTGGGCCCTACAAGGGTGCCCCTCAATAGAAACTCACTGTAATATATATATATATATAGGGAGATTCTTCAATAAGTATTTTATGTTAAGGATTTGTTACATACTTCTAATCTTGGCCATTGGATTTCATTCATTAATGTGTTAGTAGTCTCTTAGATGCAATCCAACACCCAAGATTAAAAGTATGTAACCAATCCTTAACTTAAATGTTTATTGGAGAATGTCCCTCTATATATAATTAGTTAGCTTTGATTTGACTTTTTCTCTTCAAAACAATTTTAATAAGCCTGCTGCATCAGTTGTAGTAGCATGTTTTGTGCACTCAAGTACTAATGGTTACAGACAATGAGACATAAATAATTACTATTTAGACTTTGCTAAAGCTGAACCATGAAGGAAGGGTCAATCCAATAGTGGTAGCATATGGAAACTAGAAGAGGTGGAAGCATATATGTTCTTTAAGTGGCAGACCATATTAAAATAGCATGTTTCTCAAGTGGTTCTTGCATTGCACATCACTGATACAAGAATTTGGGCTGCATTCTTAGAAAAAAAAATATATTTAAAAAATTTAAAAGGTTGGTATCAAACAATTTGGCTATGTTCATGACCTCTTGTTTTTTCTTTTTTCTTTTTTAAAGTCTCGAATTGGTTAAGCGCTTCAAGTTTAGTACATCGCATCGCATTTACATGTAGTCGCAGTTGCAGAGCAGCTGCATTCTACTGAGATTGAACAAATGTTTGAATCAATTCCACATTATGAGGTTATTCATTTAATTCATTCATTTAGTCATTATTGTTATTATTAATATAACGAATACTCATTACTACTGATTGCTAATTTCTGAGTGAATGATATGATAGCCTTTTCCCAATTTAAACCCTAAATAAATAAAGTCAATGGGAAATTGAATAAATCCACTCCTTCAGCTCAGCTGCTCTGAGGTCACGTGACCTTTAACGCCAGAGGCCCGTAACCATCAAATCAACCATGTGAGCAGCGGAGCCCACATGAGCTTATGTAATTTTCCTTCCTAATTTATTTATGTCCTCTCTCTCTCTCTCTCTCTCTCTCTCTCATATCCTGGGACCGACGTGTCGTTTCTCGTGAAGGCTGCATTTCTTTCTGGTTCTGGGCTTCTGAGGTCCCTGGAATCTAAGGCGGGTCCCACCGAGGACTCAGTCTCCCAATGAGAATCCGAAACGTGGCATCGTCCTAACACATACTGAGATGGCTTCGGTTGTATGCTATTTTTGGCACTTATTTAGCTCAAAGTCTGAGACTCTCTTTCTGGAAATGTGAAATACACGCTCCTCCTAGTAATAAGTAATAAATAATAATGCCCAATTATACGTTAATTAACACCTAATTATACTCCACGCTTTATTATGAACACAAAAATAGTGCCCCCGCCATACTCAAAAGAGGAAACACATTGTAAAATAAGAGCTATAATCACGCGCTTTTAAAAAAACCAATTAAGGAATTTTTGCGGGTAGATACAATTAATTTACCAAAAACAGAAAATTTAAGGATAATTTGCATTAAATGCCCAAGAAATTAGGGCAGTCGGTATAGATGTGTCAAAGTAACCCAAACAGAATGTCCCCTGACTTACCATATTAATATCCCAAATCCGACGGACCGTTTTACCCGCCATTTCCATTAGAAGCTGACTTATCACAGGCGTTGCTGCTACTAAAACCAGAAATAACCCTAAGATGCATTTCAAAATTTCACTTTGACTAAACAAGATGCCAAAAAAACATTCATGAATTGGTGATTAAATATTAAATGCCAAAATGATAGGGTCCATTGACCTGTTATGGACATCATATATATATATATTACAAGCAGAGAGATGAGAGAAGAGGAAAGAGTTTACCTAATTAAAAAAGGGGACACAGCTTGAGAGAAGACAAGCTTTGTATTATAAAATCCATTAAAGATAAAGGCTGTTCTGTTGTATTTAGAAAAAAAAGCGGAAGACAAGGACACAGAAGAGAGAGAAGAACAAACACTTCTGAGTTACTGAGAGAGAGAGAGAGAGAGAGAGACTTTCACTTAAAATACTAAAAAGATTTCTGTTTTGTTGGGTTGAACTCTTCACTCTGTTCTTCTGGCCATCACCATCATTGTCCTTTTCTACAGCTTTTACTTCTACCCACATTCTCTCTCTCTAGCCACTTTCTTAGTTTTTAATTTTTTTTTTATCCCTCTCCATTTCTTCTTCTGGTCTATTTGTTCATGTTCTTTCTTTTCTGGGGTTGTTGAAAAAGACCCGGAAAGTTGAATCTGTTAATAAAAATTGCAGCTTTTGCTCGAGCCCTTAATCTCTGTTTTCTCCTCACGCTCTTTGAAGTTGTTGATTCACTATGACTGTGAAGGCCCAGAGGGGAGGTTTGGTTGATGAGGATGGGGCTATGGACCGTTTCCCTGTGGGTATGCGTGTCCTGGCTGTTGACGACAATCCAATTTGTCTCAGATTGTTGGAGGGGCTCCTTCGGAATTGCCAGTATCAAGGTTTGTTTCTTCTCCTCGTATTGTTTTTCCCTTGGAGGAATTTGCATTTAGTTTTCTTCAAGTTCTAGTCAATTTGTTCTAACAAATTGTGTGTGTGTGTGTGTGTGCGCGCGCGACTGTGAAGTATAATGTAAATTCCGTTCTTTAATTTTGAATTAGTTTGTTTATCTATATATAAAAGAAGAAGTAGCTTGTTAAACTCAAACTATGCATAGTCTCGGGTAGAAAAACTATGCAGAGTCTCAATTTCCTGTTCATAAACTATTTATTCAAGTTTTCATCAGGCTCTTTCCACTGTTTTACTAAATGGGCTCCGAAAATATCCGCTTAAATCCAGTAGAGGTTAAACTTTGGTACTGGAATCGTTTACGTGATTTCTGGTTTTTGCAGTTACTACGACCACTCAGGCAGTCGAGGCACTGCTAATGTTGAGGGAAAGCAGAAATAGGTTTGACCTGGTGATCACTGATGTAAGTATGCCAGACATGGATGGCTTTAAGCTACTTGAGCTCTTAGGGCTGGAAATGGACCTACCTGTGATTAGTAAGCATGAACTTATCCTGGATCCTTGGACATAAAATACAACTTTTTTAATCTTGTTAGAATTGGATTTAAGTGCAAGTGAAAAAAATAATTTGAGTTTTCTTTGGTATCTGTTACACTTCTGGCTTTTATTTTAGTACTAAAAAACCTGCTTAGGCCCCATTTCAATTTGAGCAGTAGATAGTGATTGTTGAAGAAGTGGGAGATGAATTGGTTACTAACATCATTTTTGTGTTGTAAAATGGTCCCAGTGTTGTCAGGACATAGCGATAAAGAGCTTGTAATGAAGGGAATCTCCCATGGTGCTTGTGACTATTTGTTGAAGCCTGTTCGAAGGGAAGAGCTCACGAATATCTGGCAACATGTAATCCGAAGAAAGAAGTTCGACTCCAAGGACCAAAACAAGTCGTCCAGCCAAGACAAGGCTTGCCATGAAACTGGAGAAGGGGGACAGGGGGTTTCACCAGCAGGCAGCTCAGATCAGAATGGAAAATTTAATAGAAAAAGAAAGGACCAAAATGAAGATGAGGAAGAAGACTATGAAGACGATGAACATGAGAATGAGGACCCATCCAACCAAAAGAAGCCTCGGGTAGTTTGGTCGAAAGAGCTGCACGGAAAGTTTGTTGCAGCTGTACATCAGTTGGGACTTGAAAGTGAGTCTTCTGCTCCAGAGAAGTGATGTGTTGCTTTTGTTATACAGATTATCTTCTTGACTAATGTTTCTTCCCACCTCTTCCTTAATCTATATGCAGAGGCTGTTCCTAAGAAAATTCTTGACCTGATGAATGTTCAAGGACTCACGAGGGAAAATGTGGCCAGCCATCTGCAGGTACTCATATTTCCTTTGCCTTACTTTTAAAATAACTTTACTACCATGTAACTTTGCTGCAAGAATTCTGGAATTCGAAATCAAATATTTTTTTCGACCCAGGAATAATCTGTATTTTCGTATACATGTGATTTAATAATATATGTATATAAATGCAATGTTGTAATCACCATCAAACACTTAGCATGAAATATCTGGAAACAACTCAAAGAATCATTCTAGTGAGAGAAGTGATTGCGATAATGTTCTATTCTAGCTATTCTTTAATATTTTAACACTCTGACTTCTTTTGGGCTTGCCAGAAAACTAGGTTTTGCGACCACGCTTATGCTCTCACTTTGTGTTGCAGAAATATAGGCTCTGCCTCAAAAGACTCAGCAGTACTGCAACCCAACAAGCTAGCATGGTTGCTGCTTTTGGGGGGAATGATTCCTCTTACATGCGCATGGGTGCACTAGATGGATATGGAGATCTACGGTCCTTAGCTGGATCACGAAGACTCTCAAATGCCACTTTATCACCATACACACCAGGTGGGATGCTTGGTAGATTAAACTCCCCGGCTGGTTTGAGCATACGAGGAATTACTTCTTCTGGTCTGGTCCAACCTGGTCACTCCCAAAACTTGAGCAACTCTATTAGTAATCTTGTAAAGCTCCAGCCAGCTCTGCCTGCAAACCAAAGTCCAAATTTGTATGAATCAATT